GCTAAATTTCATGCCTCGTGTTATATTTTTCCATAAAAATAAACTTATATATAAATATCAGTTATTTTTTCCGTCGAATTTGCTGATTAATAATTTGAAGCATACGAGGGCTGTCCAATTAATAATGTCCTCAGTTCTCGGAAAGAAACAAAATCTGCTTTTCAATGATTTAGTCTTAATGATATCACTTAGATATTCTTTTTTAATTAAAACACATGTCCGTAACTTTTTTTTTATCCAATTTCTGATTGTTTTTAGAACATATTTTGAGTATGGCCCTTCGTATACTGGACTATGGCAGATCCTATGGTTTCCTGGGCTTGTTTCTTCTTTCTGAAAGGTGATTTTTTTTTCCAAGTTTTCAAAATGAAGCAAGTCAATGAAGAACATTGATTTAGTGGATTCATAATTCTGGTTCCACTCTCTCATAAACTTTTCAATTTTTTTTTCAAAAATTTGCTTTCTATTTCTTCAGAAATTCATCTGCCTCCCCGAATAAGATTTGAACAACAAGACCACTAATATTTAAAACAAATGGAATATAAAACTGTTTTTGTGCTTTTGTAATTCTTTGCTCTTCTCAGACCTTGGTTGTTTTTATCAAGTGCACCTTATTGTAAATTTATTTTGAGAGTTTAAAACAATTGATTCAAGTTTCATTATCTGTTTAAATTTCAGACAAACATTGACAACTACAATTTTTGATTTTTTAAAATAATTAATTAGATATTATTACACGCTGACGTTTTTACTCAGTTTTTAAAACATAGGGTGACCATTTAGTACTAAATTTTTTTATTGTCAAATGTTTCTTTAAAACAGAGTAAACTACCCCAAAAATGATGCCTATTTATCTTGCAATGCATCTTAAAATCAATCAAACATCGTCAGTGATAATTTGTTGACTTTATGGCAAACAGTATATTGGTTGTTATTAAGTTCTTGTCGCCAAGGACGGTACCCGTTTTTGATGCCCATTATATCATTTTTGTTCATTGAAATACACCTGCTCATGTGTTTATAAAACAGAAATTGATTTCATATATTTCAGTGAATATTTCTTTGGGATTCTTGACGAGTTTTACAGCAGTTTTAATGAAGCATTTAATTTCACTCTAGTTTAATGATTCTTAACCATTCATTTTTTAATGCAGTGTCTAGAAGAGCTCTTGTTTTCCAGCTTTTTACAATGAAACTATGTGATGTAAAGTGGTCATATAAACTGTAATCAATTTATTAAAGATTCAATCATAAGAGAAAGTCAAGCTTTATGTCAGATAATTTATATGTTGTATTTCATAGAACTCAGGACATTACTTATTGAACAGCCCTCGTACAAGATACTTTTTCGATCATGACCCCGATCAACTATAACATTACAAAACAGACTAACTTGTAAAATAGATATTCATTGAAATCCACCTGCTTCTCTATATATTTTATAATTACACCTGATTAAAACTAGTAAATATCTGTCATTATCCGTTTATTTAAAATAATGATTAAAAAGATTATTTAAAAAAAAAACATATCATTAAAGTTCCGTGTCTAATAAGGATTTTTTCTTTTGAATCGGTAAATTGGATGGAAATGTCCTATTGATTGGTAAAACATAAATAAAGTAATCAAGTTTGGATTGAATACAAAAAAACTTAACATTTATGAGAAAAGCGCTTAAGTAGGACTATTCAATGGGAAACTTGACGATGATAAACGCTGCTGTGGTCCTATTTGTCGTATAACTTTATTGAAAATTGACCATCAACTCCTCAAGTCAGTAATTTATCCAAGAATGAAATATAGAAGGCAGAGTCTGTTATGTCTTTTTCTTTTGATTTCCAGTTCTTTAAAATATCGACTTGATATGCATTGTATGTGCGAGTGTGAAAATAATTACTATTGAGCAATAAGCAGTCGCTGATATATAGTATGCAATTAATTTCGTATATAATGTATTTATTTTTTAATTTGGATAACCAAAATTTAAAAAAAATGATTTTTATGTTTTTATTAAAAAATGTTTTTAAAAAGTTAATAAAGAGCATTGTTTTGATAATTGCACTTACTGGAATAATTATCGAAAATAGTAAATAATTTCTTAACATAAATCCACTGAAAAATGAAATCATTTAAATGGTAATCACTGAAATATTAATTAACTAACTTGTAAGTGTAATTTGAATCCTTTTGAATTATGAATCCCATTAAAGAACTAGTATCTGTCACACAAAAATCATCCTATTAATTGTGAATTAAGGTAGGATTCTTCTCACAGAAGGATATGGAGATAACGAACAGTATTCAATCTCAACGTCCATTAAACAATATACAAAATAAGAGCAGAGCAAACACGGACCTCCGAAACATCAGAGGTGGGATCAGGTGCCATGGAGGAGTGAGCATCCCCTGCCGACCGGTCACACCCGCCGTGTGCTCGTTGTCATGATCAGGAAATAACGGAAAATCCGTCGTCAATTCAGTGTATAAATAATGGACTAACAATAGGTATGAAAAACGTCAGTCAGCATTTGACTCAATGATAAATTGTATTTGCTGACAAGGTCATTGTATCGACCATAGAATTTACGAAATGATGACTTTAAACGAGACTGTTGATATTCTTGTTTCATCAACTTGCTTGTCAATAATTTACCTCGTTTAAGAAATTGTTCATACGTAGAGCACGCTCTTGCATATCGAATCAACTGAAATATATCTATACTCCGTATGCAGGTGATGAAGGTATATTGCTACATAAGTAAGGGAAGTTGACGATAGAAAAGTTGAAGTCATCACGTTTATCATATAGCTTAGTTGTTAGATTACCATTAGTGTCTTTTTCAAGTAAAATATCCAAGTATGAAGCAGAAGTATCGGACTCGGTGGTATCTTTTATCTCTTGAAAGCTCACCAGGATATATCGTATCGACGTAGGAATGGAAATTATCATTATTAATTGACAATACGTCGTCGATATATCTAAATGTCGAGTTGAAGACCACAGCAAGTGTTTTCTTCTTTTCACGCATAAGATTTTGCATAAATTCTGCTTCATATGAATATAAAAATAAGTCTGCTAATAACGGAGCGCAATTTGTACCCATGGGAATTCCAATAGATTGTTGGAATACCTGGTCTCCAAAAACACATAGATATTGTCAATCAGAAACTCAAGCATCTTCTTGATGTCAACTTCAGAGTATTTATGTGTGCAATCAGAATCTGTTTTAACAAAATAATTTTTCAAATGACCAATGACGAGGTAAGTAAATTTACGAGTTCCATTTTTGTTGAAGAGGCAGCTGTCAATGACACAAATCTGTATTTCTTGTATTTAAAAATAAATGAAATTTTCACAGAATCAGGAAGACAATATTATTAAGTGATGGTATCAGATAGATTAGTTTTGACCGTTTTATATTAGAGTCAAGGTCAGGTCAATGTCATTACCTTTACGTTTCCCTGGATATTAAGAATAAAAATGACTGCATCCAATCATGCGATAAGGTTTTCTATTACAAAAGATTAAATGTTTTTCTTTTTGCATAAAAAGATATTACCATATAAGTGCTATAAGATGATATTACCAAATTGACACAAATAGTTTAACAAAAAAGGATTTTGTCCTATCCGAATTTTCTCTATTTTTCTTAAATATTTAGGATAATTAAGTTATTTTTATATGCGCCTTTTATTTATTTTTTCTTATTTTAACATATGGTGAAGAAGTCATATAGAGTTACAAAATGGTACAAAAACAAAAAGTTTTGACCGTTTACTAAGAGAGTAAAAGACTTTTTTGACTCATATCTGTGCTTAGATTGGAAGCTTTTAAAAGCTAACATAATTGTAGTTTGTTTGGAAAATCATATTTATTTGATATATTTTAAAACTTTAGTCCCTTATTATTAATTTAGCTAACATTTGAAAAATTCTTCAAGTCTTTGATTGTGTAAAAATTATAACTAAATTCGTTGTCTTATAATAATTTTGAGAGGCAAAAAAAAGATATTTTCATACGCCACCATTCCGCCAAACATATAGTCCCTGCTAGTTTTCAAACGCAGTTTACCATTTCTATTTAAAGTTGTACAATTGTGAAAGAAAAATGTGGTCTTTTAAATCTCTTTCACCTAAATATATAAGACATAGAAGCAAATATACATTGAATATTTCATCTACTCAGAAACCAGAGAAGAATCCTACCTTAAAGATTTAAATCCCACTTATATATGAATCCCATTTTAATATAAATTAAATTGAATTATAAATTCAAACCACGGCAGAACATATCACCAAAACGAATTTATATGAATCCCCTATCGGTCACGGTAGCCTAGTGGTAGAGCGTCCGATTCGTGATTGGGAGGCTCGGGTTCGATTCTCGTTCGCGACGGCGCTTCAAATCTAAGACGTAAACATAGGTAGTGACTGTTCTCTTGCAATGCGCTTGGCATTAGAAGTGGAAATCACGGGTCTTTCGAATATGACGTTAAAATCGTAGGTCCCGTGGTACGTTAGGCGTTGGCACGATTAATAACCCTTACTGCTCAATGGCCGTGAGTGCCGAGTAAAGGGCTTAATTTGAAGCCCTTCACCGGCGTACGGTGACGATTCTATATGCGTAAAAAATTCTCGAATGGGGAGTTGAACAATATAATCAATCATTATATGAATCCCACTAAAATATGAATTCCGTCTCATATAAAAAAAATAATATTTAACAGTCACTTTATTATAAACTACACTTAAATTGAATCCCACTTAAATAAAAATCAACTAATATTGGTACATACGAAGTACTTAATTACCTTGGATTTGTATTATCTAGGGTTAAATGGAAGAATTTTATAGAGATAATGTGATATAAAAGGTTTGATTTAATAATCAAGATCATCCGCGCTTGCTCATTATGAAAGTAGACCTTTTAGCAAAGAGGGTATTAATATATATTTCATTAGGATCCCGTTGTCTTCTGTTTCCTGTTCTATAAGCCATTAAGTACACTAGTGTTGTAAACAGTTTGGGCATACTATCAAAACATCTCTTCACAGAAAAAGGAATATGATGATTGATTTTAACCTTTGCATATTTCCCTCATTAAAGAAAAAAATTGCATGTTAGCCTTGATCAATGGGAAGTTTGGCAGAGAAGGCTTAAATAATAGGTTGTCGATTTCTCACATTTCCATTAATAAAATATTATTTCTTCTCTCTGCATGAATGAAGCAAAAACAATTTTAATCTGCGTTGGAGGAAAAAAGAACATCCACGCACACCAAATTAGCTATCAATTCTCTGAACTAAAACCTATCATCATTTTTTTAAGATTCTGGGTCCACTGTGTTGAAAATGTCTGTTTTATTTCAAATGTGTCTTTTTAATTGTAATAATCCGGTGATAGGTTTCAAATTCTGAGAAGAATGTCTAAACACTGTCCTATCATGGAGTCTGTCATGTTCTATACGTAAGCTAAGTGGCCAGTATTTTTTAGAATATCGATTCCGATTTTTTTTCCTACGCCTTTTTTTTTCGTCTCGGAGTTATAAGTACTTGTGTATGTTTTATCGTCCTTTCACTTCAATATTAACTTGTCATTCAAGGGCTTACGATAACATAAGAGGTATGTAGCTTCTAAGTGTTTATAAGAATGTGAAACAATCATAATTAAATTAGTTAGGATATAGTTTAAATATATATTTATTTAAATCTCTTCGATATATTCCATTGCAAATTACATGGTTAAAAAACTTTTTTTTCAAATTTGGTCTTTTGTCTTCTTTTTTGTAAATGCTAATATTTTTTGGGGAGGGGGGTTTCTAGGAAGAAAAATATATTCATCTGAAAATAAAATTTGCAAATACTTCAAAATCCAGCGTTAAAAATTAGGCATTAGTATAACTGATCCTTTTCTGCTCATCTATAAATATATGTGTAAGGATATTGTCCAAATTTCATCAAAATAAATTGACAAATAGCATGACTCAAAAATACATAATAATGTTTTAAAATCTAATATTAATAAGTTTACCTTTAAACAAAAGTCTAATGTATAAAAATATCTTTTCTTGGCTATAAATGGTCATATTGGTCGTAGATTAATGCTTGACATTTAATATTTTGATACTGTAGAAAGTAATACGTTTGGAGCATAAATAAAAATCTCTCATTTCCTCTCCTTATCTTTTAAAAATCTGTAAAATAGAAAAGAAATATCAGAGGCTTGGGGAGGATGGGGGTTAATGATAATTTAAGCATCCTCATTTCAGCCCACTGTGACTCCTAAACAAGGGAACATGCCCCAAGACCATAATCTGAGAACAGACCTTAAAGTAAAAATTTTGATTTACAGTATATTGAGTTTTATTTACTTAAAACCTTGCAATTTTATATGAAACATATGGAGATAACGAACAATATTCAAGATCTTAAGCCCCTAAAACAATACAGAATAGGAGCAAAGTAAACACGGACATTCAAAACATCTACAAAATACACATAAATAATGAAAACTAATGGAGTAAACGCTGAATCATCGCGTTTGCCATACAATTTAGTTGTTAGTTGGTTTCTTGCACCTTTAGTCAGTTCAACATCCAAATATGAAACAGATGTGACAGACTAGCAAGTGTCTTTTTTGTTCAAAATGGTATATCAAGTATACATATGGATGCAAACAATCACTAGCCTTGTTAAATGACAAAACGTCGTCAAAATATCAGAATATCAAATGGAAGCAAGTGTTTTCGTCTTCTCATTTAGTAGTTTATGAACAAATTTTGTTTCAAATTAAGATAAAATAAAAAGGAGCATAACTAGTGTCTATAACCATTTCAATAGTTTGATCGAAGACCTAGTCATTGAAGAATCCAGCATCTTTTTAATACCAACTTAGCCAGTATACCTCTATGTAAATTTATTATATCTTACACATGCTGGATTATTCTTGATAATTGTTTGAAGTTTCATCTTAAGAAGTATATTCCGTAAATTCATTGTCGTTATCATGTCTTGCCTTCTGGGCAAATATATTCTGTCGTTGGTTATACATGTATTTGACTTGTTTTATACTAGTTGTAAGGCTTTTGTTCTATTCTTAATCTGTCTAAGAAATTTCCGTCTACCTTTTCTATACATAAAGCTCAAATAGGTGTTACCGGTCGACAGGGGATGCTTACACCTCCTACACAAATTATTCTATCTCTCTTTAGAGCATCCATATTTATGCTTGTTAACAGATTGGAATTGATTGTAGATTTTTTTAGGACGATCGCATGCTTTTTTTTAAATACTTTTTCATATATATATATTTGTTTACTTAGCAAGATTTGTCTGACTGTTTTCTCCTCTGTCAGACCCTCAATGATTTTTTTAAAGATCTAAGAAAGGTGCATTATCAGATCGAAAAGGCTGTAATACACAAGATTCCAGACGCTTCATACATTTTTATTTTTCTATCTACTTACACAAGTTTTTTTCTATCTATTTACATAAAACGTTTTAGTCACCTGCGTGGCGCATGCAATAGTTACATATGCACTGCCTTTATTCTATACTTGGGGAGTGATGAGCTGATCCTTACGTTGAGATTTGGAATGCATTGAGGGACGTTGAGACGGGTGCTTCGAAAAAAGACCGTAAATACTGAGGTTAACTGTTGCAGTAGATGTTGGTCGGAGTTTCGAGTAAAGGTTTAAATTTACAGCCCTCCACCGGCAAGTGGTGGCGCTACAAATGAGATTAAAATTTTCAAAAGGGACGTTAAACAACAAACAGAAAAAATAAATCGTTTTGAAAGCATGAATGAAATGATCTCCCTCAAATATATTTTCTTCGTGTGATTTCTTCTTTTTTTGCGATAATATAGTATTTTAGATCTTCAAATTATAACTTAAAAAAAAAATAGTTTGCAACCTTTCACATTTTTATTATCAGTGTTCAAATACTATAATCATCATTTGCGTTCGGAGCAATATGAATATATAACAAGGAAAAAAATAAAAAAGCTAAAACGGATGAATAAGTTTTGAAATTAAATGCAGATTATGATAATGGGAAATAAAGAAAGTATGAATTTTTTGTTTGATTGATTGATTGTTGTTTAACGTCCCTCATGAGAATTTTTCACTCATATGGAGAAGCCACCGCTTGCCGTTGGAGAGCTGCAAATTTTGTCGTATACTCAGGGCCACTGAGCAGGGAAGGATCTCCTTTCGCGCGAATACCTACTGTGACATGGGACCTATGTTTATAAGTCTCATCCGAAGGACCGGTCTCCACGTCCCACAGTGGGATTCGAACCCGCGACGTAAGGATTAACTCTTTACTCTGCGACTCTAGAGCAAACACTCTACCCACTGCGGCACGCGGGCGACAAGAAAATTGTTTAATGAAAAAATATTTTGTTTCACGTTTATCACATTTATATTTTCAAATGTCATTCATTCTCAAATGCGTCAACAAAGTTGAAAATAGAAGACATTTGTTTTCTTTTTCAAGAATATGCCAATCAACATTTGACATTAGAAACTAAAAAAATTCTCTTTGCTCTTTTAACTATTGCATTCCGATAGAAACAAAGAAGTTCTATTACTATTTCATTTTCATGGGAAACGAAGCAAAAACTCTAACCATAAATTTCTTTAACGACAGTCATTTCATCACTATCTCGACCCATAAGCCAAATTAATCCCCCTTTTCTGGTAAAGTAATTGAGTCGTTATTTTAAACCCGTCAGCAAGTCACTATCACAAAAGATATTCTAAGCCTCATTTACAGGTGTTAATTTTTATTACTCGGATTTACGCTAGGTTGTAAATTGTTAATAATGTTTTTCCAATAATTTATAGCATATCTTTTCACTGTATGACCACAAATATATACCCGTTACCTTGAAGTTAAGATACAGGTATTGATTACGTACAAGGTTAGATTGTTGTAATTTTACTCTTTAAACTTGTGTAGAGGTGTTCGGGTACATCCATGAGATTGCGAGTATTTTTTTCTCTTAATAATGAAATTAAATAATTATATCTGGTTTTTGCTACGTGTTGTTATTTTATCTTTAAAAATTGTAATTATGATCAAAAGTACATGTATTACTATATTCGCACCCAATATATTAAAGATTTAGTAAGGATAGTAATATCTAAACAGGAATGTAGCGGGGATAGTTAAATATAACATAGAATATGTGAATTCATGAAGGCACTTTAATGGCCATAAACGATGTATATTTATCCTGCGTATCAAGCAAAATAAAGATAACGAGTGAATAGTTTTAAAAGCCTATATAGCAAATTAAGATCGCAAGAAAAAGTTCAAAAGAAAGATGACAAGAGAAAGTTTGCAAGAAATAGATTTGAATGTGTCAGTATCAGCTAAGGTTGCATGGACTTAACCAAGTGTAATAGCAATCTTGAGTTTAATGTAATAAAAGAATGCGAAATGTAAGCAAACAATGCATGGATAAGCCACATATGCCTGTGGACAGGACCCCTACTAGAAGATGAAATCATGAAAATATCATTCGACCTGGGGTGTATATTCGGGGAGGGGGATTCCTGTCAACAAGCACCTGTAGCATATACCCCCCAAAAAATCAGCATACATTTAATTTTATTTTGCAATATGAGGAAAAATAACACATCGAAAAATAACACATCGAAGATAGCCTTAAAGAGTAGTGTATGTTTCACGAAATTATCAAATTAACTTTTCATTTCAATACTGTAAACGTATTATATTTGGCTGTGTATTCTATTTAGTGCCTTTCGCGGAAAATATCAAGTAAATCGCTAAATGCTTTGTTTTCAAATATTCATATAAAGCATATTCAAAAAGCGCTAATTCAAATCTACGCTAACTTGTTTAAAAACCAACTTCCGCCAAACATTGTACACGCCAAATAAAATACATTTACAGTATTTCATTGCTATTTTAAAGTGCCTTTGACTTTTCAGGACCTGTTTGAACCAGACAATGCTCTGTAAATTTTGGATCCAGCTATTGGTTGCCGTTAGTCTATTGACAGTATCATATGGTCAAGTCAGTTTCTCTACGAACTGGGGTAGTGGGAAAAGGTCTTCTGATACAGCGCCACTGGTCAACGACATCTGCCTAGCTAAAACAGACACGAAATTATTGTACGATTTAATGAGAGTTATACAGGTAGGTTTTGTATATTTTATGTATTCTTCATTTTACTTCAATGTCTGCAATTAGGAAATTGATAGAAAAGAAAATTATTGTAGAGTACTGTTAATTAATTAAACTAATTATCATTACTTATATTATCCTTTTACTATTTTTTTTCCCTTTCTTCGATCAATGTATTGATGTACATGTTTATGCTACAATATTATCATACTAATATATGGTAAGTCTGTTAGAACTTTTGATAGATAGGTGAAATTATTTTTCAGTGCAGAAAGATAATGATTTACTTTTTTTATTTTCAGAGGCAAGCAGAACGCATCATTGCCTGCAGTAGCAATTACGATGAATTAAAGCGGGTATGGTATGTAACAAACAATGTTATTTTAAATATATTTTTTATGAATTGTCATATCAGTATTGGACAACAGGAACTGCGTATATAAGTCCTCTCCATAAGCATTTTTTGTTTGCATTTTAACACTCTGGAATCTGTTTTTTACAAAAGACCATACGACTAAGACCGATATTTAGTTCTAATTTACATGTAATTGAAAATAAAGTTATTTTTTTTTAAAAGAATGTAGAAAGATATTTTACAATTTTAAACAGAATCATTTATTCTGCAAAATTTTATAATAAACTTAAGTTGTTTGGTCTTAGTCGTAATTACTTTTGTAAAACGGGTCCCTGAACTACAATGATTTTTTCATTTTAAAATTTTATATTTATAAGTAGTTTCTTTTACTTTGCACGAAGAGAACAGAAAAAATAATAAAATCTTTTACTTTTTCAGACATTTTAATCTACCTGGAGGACAGTCGTCGTATCCTCTATGCAATTTTAAACGAGAATAGGAGAAGAGGAACAATCATTTATTTGTCGACAAATACTTCGAATTTACTATCACAAAATTTGGTTTCCAAGAACAAACTTTCTTAGCATATTTGGAAACAGAATAGTGATTTAGAAGATCAGTCACTTTAGAATAGAGTAAAATTTAACAAAACTGAAGATAAGAGATGATGTATTTTACATTAATTATGTCAAAATGTTTAATAATTAGGCATATATACATTAAGTATATCATACAACCTCTGTATATTATAAATTTGTGGAATTTTTGTTAACTGTTAATGCACTATTTACATATTTTGTTCATATTGTCTCCTGAAAGACTCTTTTGAGTGGTCAGTTCATCTTTTCCAATTGACAATTAAAAGAAAACTGATTTTATCTCGTATGTTTAAAAAAATTATTCATTGATAAAGATGACTTAGACATATTTTCTTTTAATTGTCACAAATAAAACCATGTATCAAATATTGATATATTGTTGGAATTCATACTCTTCAGTAAAATAAGCTCAACACCTTAAGTTAATTTTGAATAAAATTCGTATAATTTTGTTCGTTGTTGTTTAATATATCTCAAAGAAATGACTTCTCTCATAGCGTAACCACTTACAAAATTCTTATTGAACATGCGTTACAGTTTTCAAAAGAAAGCAATATTCAAAATTTCTTCTAAATTCTATAACAGTGAAATCAAATCCACTGTGAAGTAATCGAATATCTGAAACATAATTGTCCATCGTTTCATGCTCTTCACCCTATAACTATAGTCCTACTGGACATGTTGTTACTGGTGACATAAATAAAGATAATAATGAGGACCAATCCTAAATTTAAGTAACCCCAATCCTTCAACTGGCGTCGGAATTTCATAAATATTATGGATTCTGTAGAAGATTACGCCAGGTGATGGGCCAAATATGAAAAAGAAGAAGTTGACACTTCGACAGAATGGATTAAATGTATCATATCTATGTTACAACCGCGCATTTAAAGAGCTACGGTCAATATGAAAACATCTATCCTTCTGTATTCAATAATCCAGAAGGGAAAAAAGAATTAGATAGATTACATTATCTGTACGTACTGGTCCCTGCTGGTAAAACAGATAACAACATTGTCTTCGTTTGTAAGACCCATTATATGTATAAATTGTATTTTAGAAGAACTCAGATTTAATTCTCCATGTCGTGATCCAATTTATACTTATAGTTCACTTCTGAAGGAAGAAATTCCTCAAAGTCGTATGTCAGTTTTGAATATGCTTGATATTCCAAACTACCAAAATAAATCTAAATTACCATACAATGAAGCGCATTGAAGTGGTAAAATTTTCCATTTGGACGAAACGTTCTGAGTTATGTTTTGAACGTCAATTATAACATAACGACACGCTCATTTCTTTAGAAACGAGAAAGGAATATTCGTCGTAATCTTTTAGGACACTGCACTTTCTGCGACAAGCAACATGAGTTACACTGAAATGAAGATATTTAAATAAGAAAGAGCTATGTATAGAGTTCCTGCTTATGTAAAACACGCATTGCAACGATTTTGTATATAATCATGAATTTATAATGTTTATTGGAGTTAGCACAGCACATGTATCAATAGAACACGTGCTTACTCGGTGTTTATGTAGACCTTCAATTTCATTGTCTATTATATTTATGAAATACCTGTTCTACAGGTATTCGATTGAATCATTTGACCGATTTTTCTTTTCTAAAGAAATGGGCGTGTCTAAAGATAGCTCAAAACGTTCCATCCAAGCAGAAAATTTTATCACTTCAATGCGCTTCATTGTATCTATCGTGGATTCCGAAACTCCATAAAAATCATTACAAAGATACATAGCGGGTTCCAGTAAATGTTTAACCAAGCCTCTTTCTTCACTCCTCACTAAGATATTAATAGATATGAAGGATGAACGTCAACAGTACTATGCAACAATATATTTGAAAAGTGGTGTAAATCAGATGTGGATACTTAAAAATTCAAAGGAACTATTGAAAAATTTCAAATCCGAAATTTTACCAAAATCAACAGCTTAAAAACTTACGACTTTTCAACTTCATACACTACTGTTATCCATGATATATTAAAGGTCAGACTTTCTTACATTATTGACAGCTGCTTTTTCAATAAAAAGGAGTCGTAAACTTACCTTGTCATTAGTCATTTTCAAAATTATTTTGTTAAAATCATTCTGATTGTACACACAAGCACTCTGAAGTTAGCATGAAAAATGCTTTAGTTTCTGATATCTTTGTATTATTTGGAGACCAGGTCTTCCAGCAATCTATTGAGATTCCAATGGGTACTAATTGCACCCCTTATTAGCGGTCCTATTTTTGTATTCATATGAAACAAAATTTGTCAAAAATCTTAAACGTTAAAAAACCGTTTGTTGTGGCCTTCAACTCGACATTTTGATATAGCGACGACGCATTGTCAATTAACAATGGTTATTTTCATTCTTATGTCGATACGATATATCCCAGTGAACTTTAGTGAAAGATACCACAGAGTCTGACAAATCTGTTTCGTATTTGGATAATTTACTTGAAAAATATATTACTGGTAACCTAACATCTAATTTCTATAATAAACGTGATGACTTTAACTTCGCAATCGTCAACTTTCCTTACTTATACAGCAAGATACGAGGGCCGTTCAAAAATTACGCGGACTGGGCTATTATTTACTCTTAAAGACGTCATATAGTTATGAAATTTCACAGAAATATGTATCTTAAAGATTCCAATACATTTTGAGCAAAAATTTTGTATTTTAAAAACTTTTTACTAAAATTATCGGAATGTTGATATCGCTGATGGAGAGGTACGGAGCAAGACAAAAAAAATTAAAGCAAAAGCATGCGGAATCCAAATTTTAACTCATTTATTTTCTATAATTCGCAACATTTTTCGACAATTTTCTCAAATATATCTTTAAATTGTTCTATGATTATGTATTTAGATTTCTGACGTGATATTTGAAGTATTAAAAGAAATATAGTTATTTTTCTCTGATGCGATTCCCGTGAAAACCACTGTGAAAATTACGTCTCCTGAATGGACGGCGCACCACACGTTTGTTAAATTATGTATAATGCTCGAAATATCGCCAACATAGATCCAAAATACGCATAATAAAACATGTAGTAAACTAGGGTATTCGTGACATTCGTCCACAAATAGGAATTTCATATTTTAGACTGTTAGACCTCTGTAAAAAGGCTATACCTGAGGACGGGAAGAAGATTTTCGACGAAAACTTTGTCCGGACTGTAAAGAACATGATTGAGAGTCACTAATTAAATATTACAATATATCTCATAAATACCTGAAGTTTTTTGTTTTTATAACAAAAAAGAATATTCTTTACTTGTTTAATAGATTTTAAGCTTGAAAAGAAATGGTGTTTGGATGTTGAATAGATAAGGTAACTCAAAATGTACAGGTACTCTTGGGAAAATTTGAGAAAATGAGAGATCAATCACATACTTTTTATAATGCCTGTGACGTCGAAGATTTTGCTGCTCCGTGACTTAATGATATGTCCTGAAAAATCACTCAAAATTGATACCAATTTACAACATTTTTATGTGAAATTTTGTAGACCATATAAGAAAAGATTCTTTTATATTATGTGTGACATTTTGCCCGATTATGTTGTCAAATATTTTTTCTGTGCAACAAGTCCGCGTAATTTTTGAACGGCCCTCGTACCTTCATCACTTGTATACAGGGCTCATATCTCTCAGTTGATTCGATACACATACACTATAAAATAGGAGCGGAGAAATCACGGACCTCCAAAACATCAGAGGTGGGATCAGGTGTCATGGAGGAGTGAGCATCCCCTGACGACCGGTCACACCCGCCGTGTGCTCTTTGTCATGATCGGAAAATCCGTAGTCAATTCAGTGTGTAAATAATGGACTAAAAATTAGCATGAAAAACGTCAGTCATCATTTGACTTAATGAGAATTTTTTTGCTAACATGGTCATTGTATCGACCACAGAACTTACAAAATGATGGCTTTAAACGAGACTGCCGATATTCTTGTTTCATCAACTTGTTTGTCGATAATTTTTAGAAAGTATACATATGAAGAGCATGATTTTTCGTATCTAATCACCATTTCGATCCCTGATGATGACATGAGTATATCTAACAGTTGTCGTAAAATTTATGTTTTTCTGTTAAAGGAGAATTCATTTTACAAAAACGAAAACAATTTTGAAAAAAATCCACCTTTGCTAAATGTTATATATATCGAACCTTATTAAGCTTATTGGAAACATTTACATACATGTAAATTCAGGGTACATGCACTGAAATGCAAAATATGTGCCTTTTACATCCTTATGTTGCAAATACTCTCAAATTATTAACGCATTTTTATCTACCACAGAAAACTTCAACTTTTCTTAAGTAATACAGAGCTTAAGATTGATTGATTGTATATTGTTTAACGTCCCTCTCGAGAATTTTTCAGTCATATGGAGACGTCACCGTATGCCGGTGAAGGGCTTCAAATTTTGAAACAGAGCTTAAGTACTCTAAAACTCGCTTGTATTAAAGTGTCTTTCGAATCATTATAATAATGAAGAAATGCATGTGGAGATTACAAACAGAAATCAAGCTTAAAAGATAAATGAACAAATAATATTTGAGAGCAAAGCAAACAAGAGCCTCTAAAAACATAACAGGTGGAATTAGGTGCCACGGAGGAGTAAATAGCTCCTATTGACCGATCAAACCCGCCGCGCTGCTTGTTATGATCGCACAAATGGTTAAAACAATCCAAAGACAATTCAGTGTGTAAGTTATGGCCTTAGAATTTGTTTGAAAACGTCAGTCATCTTTCGACTTAATGCTAGATCATTCATTACAAAGGTTATTCAAAGATCGTAAAAATCAGTTCAGTACAATGTATACTGATCACACTGGAGAAAGTTTTGATTTACATTTAAAACGTTCAATTGGCAGAAATAGATTGAAAAATAATTTTTCAAAACGCAAAAAAAGTTTTTAATACTCATTTTAGCTTTGCTTTTTTTAATATTATTTTTCCAGTGATAGTTCCTTGATGTGCACGTATAATTAAGGTACATTGTATGTATAAGGTACAAAGAATCTACCATCTTAATAATTCATGCTATCAGAAAATCAAAGATATTAGATTCATTTCTCATTTCCGCATTAAGAATCTATACCCTGTGATTTATGGTAGTGTAATAAAGAATATTTCTTCTTGAAGCAGGTTGAAAACAATATCCTATGTATCCGATAGCCTCTGCGGTCTGTTACAGGCATTCAAATAACGGTGCTAATATCTAACTGCGGAAGCTAATTACTTACTTT